TCACCATTATCATCGCTATTCGCCATCACTATCACTATTATCATCATCATCAGCATGATCATCATCATCATCATCATCAGCAGCATCATCACCACCATAATCATCATCATCGTCGTCAGCATCGTCAGCATCACCATCAGCATTACCATCACCACCACCATCACCATCATCCCCGTCACCAACATCATGCCTGCTACCGGCATTATCACCATCATCATTATCATCATCATCATCATCATCACCCTCACCATCACCATCACCAGCAATATTATTATCTAGTATCGGGTGCCATCAGCATCTTCCTTATCACATCGCCATTGCCATAAATCCTTAGCATCGCCATCACCATACCATTATACTGTCGGCACACCTCGCACTTGTTCCGTACTCCACCCAAGGCCCCAGCGGCGACGTCCATGTGGGTGTCAAGCCCGTTTTCGGCACACCCCTCACACGTTGAAGGCCCCAGTGGTTGCGTCCCTGTGCGTCCACGCCTCTCATCTTGACACACCACTCACGAGTCTCGTGGCTCCATGGTGAGCTCAAAAACAAAATCATGGTCAGCTCCAACGAAGGTTTCAGAGGCTGCGTCTCGACGCGCCCCCGCCCTCCATTATGGTATAGCGTCGCACGTTTCATGGCGGAAACTTCACCGAAGGCCCAACTGGCTGCGTGCGTGTGTATTCATGCCAGCACACACCTCACACGCTTCGTGGCACCACAGGCAGCTCCAACGAAAGCTCCACCGGCTGCGATCCAGTTCGGCGCACCACTCACACACTTCGTGCACCGAAGGCTTCAATGACTGCGTCTCGGCACGTCCCCGTCGCTCAACTCGGTACAGCCTCATACATTCGTTGCCAAAGGGAACTTCACCGAAGGCCTCAGTGACTGCGCCCCTTTTGATGCCGGCACGCCCCTGCCTCTAATTTCGGTGCACCCCTCACACGTTTCTTGGCCCCATGGGGAGCTCCAACGAAGGCCCCAGTGGCTGCGTCCCGAGGCGTCTCCGCCTGTCCTGTCAGCGCACCCTTCACACGCTTCGTGGTACCATAGGGGGCTCCACCCAAAGCCATAGTCGCTGCGTCCCTAAGCGTTTCCGCCATTCACATCAGCACACCCTTCACGCGCTTCGTGGCACCATATGGGGGCTTCACCGAAGGCCCCCGTGGCTGAGGCCCTTAGCGTCGCCGCGTTTCATGTTGGCAGATCCTTCACACGTTTCGTGGCACTATAGGGGGAGTTTCATCAAAGGCCCCAGTGGCTGCGTCCCTATGCGCCACCGCCTTTCACTTCGGCAAGCCCCTCACACGTTTCGTGGCCCCACAGGGAGCTATGGCCCCAATGGCTGCGCCCCTATGCGCCCCGGACTCTCATGGCGGGATGTCCCTCATTAATTTCGTGGCCTCATAAGGGGCTCCACCGAACGCGCCAGTGGCTGCGTCCCTGTGCGCCTCCGCCTTTCACTTCGGCACGCCCTTCGCACGTGTCGTGTCCCCTTGGAGATCTCCACCGAAGGCCATAATGGCTGTGTCTCCGCCTTTCATTCCGGCGCTCCCCTTACACATTCCGTGGCCTTACAGGGAGTTCCACCGAAGGCCCGAGTGGTTGCGTCCTGATGCGCCACCGCCTTTCACTTCTGCACGCCCCTCAAACGTTTCGCAGCCCCACTGGGTGCTCCACCCAAGGCCCCAGTGGCTGCGTCCGCATGCGTCCCCGCGTATCATGTCGGCACGCATCTCACACGTTTCGTGGCCACATAAGGAGTTCCACTGAAGGCCCCTGTCTTTCATTGCGGCATCTTCCTCACATGTCTCGTGGCCCCCTAGGTAGCTCCCCCTCTTGCGTCCTACCTGTCTTGCGGTACAGCACTTGCGTATTCTTGAGTCCCTCGCCAGGATGTGTGTTTTTTTCCAGCTCGTGCGCGGCCCCACGGTTTCTGGTCTCCCTGCGGCTGTTTCCAAAAGCTATACCTGTAGTGGGCTGGCCCGCAACAGGATGTATGCGATTGGGGCGTGCCAGCATGTATGTCACCACCCACCAAATCACCCCAACCCAACCCGAAGGCTTCAATATGTCCTCCATTTCCAGTTGGGGGTGGTCGGGGAACGTTTGAAAATTAGCCTGGCGAAGGACCCAACCATACGCAGTTGTGAGTACCGCAGTTGTGGGTATCGTCTTCGGTGGAGCTCCCTATGGGCCACGAAACGCTGCACTGGGTGGAGGAGACGCATGCGAACTTTGTCAGGGGCCTTCGGTGGAGCAGCGTAAGGGGCCACGAAACGCTGTACTCGGTGGAGAAACGCATGCGAACTTTGCCGTTGGGGCCTTGGGTGGAACCCCCTATGGGCCATGAAACGCTGTGCTGGGTGGGGGAGACGCATGCGAATTGTGCCAGTGGGGCATTCGGTGGAGCCCCCGATGGGCCACGAAACGCTGCACTGGGTGGGGGAAACGCATGTGGACTTTGCCACTGGGGCCTTCTGTGGAGCTCCCTATAGGGCCATGAAGTGCTGTACTGGGTGGGGGGGGCGCAATGTGGACGGTGCCATTGAGGCCTTCGGTGGGGCTCCCAATGGGGCCGGTGGGGAGACGCATGCGGACGGTTCCATCGGGGCCTTCGGTGGAGCTCCGTAAGGGGCCCCGAAACGTTGTACTGGGTGGGGGAGACGCGTGCGGACGGTGCCATTGGGGCCTTCGGTGGAGCTCCGTATGGAGCCACGAAACGTGGCACTGGGTGGGGGAAACGCATGCGGGCGGCTCCATTGGGGCATTCGGCGGAGCTCCCTATGGGGCCACGAAGCGCTGTATTGGGTGGGGGGGTCGCATGCGGACGGTGCCACTGGGGCCTTTGGTGAGCTGCGTCAGATGCCCCGAAACGTTGTACTGGGTGGGGGAGGCGCATGCGGAAAGGGGCAATGGGGCCTTCGGTGGAGGTCCCAAGAAGGCCACGATGGGAATAGCATGCGGACGGTGCCACTGGGGCCGTCGGTGGAGCTCCCTATGGAGCCACGAAGCGCTGCACTGGGTGGGGGGGCGCATGCGGGCGGGACCTTCGGTGGGTGCCACGAATCGCTGTGCTGGGTGTGCGGGGCGCATGCGGACGGTCCTACTGGGACTTTCGGTGGGGCTCCCTATGGGGCCACGAAGCGCTGCACTGGGTGGGGGGAACGCATGCGGACACCGCCGCTGGGGCCGTCGGTGGGCTGTACTGGGTGGGGGGGGCGCATGCGGGCGGTAGCGCTGGGGCCTTCGGCGGAGCTCCCTATTGGGCCACGGAACGCTGTACTGGGTGATGCGTGAAGCATGCGGGCGGTGCCACTGGGGCCGTCAGTGGAGCTCACTATGGGGCCACGAAGCGCTGTAGTGGGTGGTGCGTGAAGCATGCGGGCGGTGCCACTGGGGCCGTCGGTGGAGCTCTCTATGGGGCCACGGAGCGCTGTATTGGGTGGTGCGTGAAGCATGCGGGCGGTCCCATTGGGGCCTCGGGTGGAGCTCCCTACGGGGTCACGAATCGGTGTGCTGGGTGGTGCGTGGCGCATGCAGGCGGTGCCACTGTGGCTTTCGGTTGGGCTCCCTATGGGGCAACGAAACGCTGTACTGGGTGGTGCGTGACGCATGCGGGCTGTCCCACTGGGACCTTCGGTGGAGCTCCCTATAGGGCCACGAAACGCTGTACTGGGTGGTGCGTGACGCATGCGAGCGGTGGCACTGGGGCCGTCGGTGGAACTCCATATGGGGCCACGAAGCGCTGTACTGGGTGGTACGTGACGCATTCGGGCGGTGGCATTGGGGCCGTCGGTGGAGCTCCCTATGGGGCCACGAAGCGCTGTATTGGGTGGTGCGTGACGCATGCGGGCGGTGGCACTGCGACCGTCGGTGGAGGTCCCTACGGGGTCACAAAACGTGTGTTGGGTGTGAAGAAACGGGTGATGATGATGATGATCGTGATGATGATTGGAGGAGGGAGGAGGGAGGAGGAAGGAAGGAAGGAGGAGGAGACGCAGGGCACCGTCTCTTCAAAACGAGGACCCAACACCACAGGATGGCTGGGACAAACAATGGAACCCGAACCCCCCCAACCCGAAATTCGGGTCAGATTCGGGTCTTCGGGTTGGTTGGGGTGGTCTGGTGCAAGCCGATGGTCCCGAGCCAATTTCCTTGTAAGAGTAACCTGGTGGCATGCCCAGGCCGCGTGACACAACATTGTGTGTTCGGCCAGCGCAAGGCGAATGCTGTCAGTGACCGTCTGAACCACCACGTGGTCGGTGGCTGCACACTTAAACAGTATAGTGGCCTTGAATGGGCTGAGCGGTCTCCACCGCGGCATCGATGTCACGGCTTGTGGGCTTCACTCAGAACGAACGGGAGGCAAAGGAGGGTCTCGGGCTTGAGCGGCCGAGTATATGGTAGATTTAACATCGTGAAGCGAGGAGGGGAGCGGGCAGGCGGCCGCACCGCGATCGTCGCGGCCGTACTGCTCAAGCTCCGAGGCCCCAGGGGCTTCCCAGCGGAGGCGGCCGGGCCGTGGATGGACCCCGCGAGCCTCGTCCTCCGCGAGGCGACGCGGGGATTCGCCGCCGGCGCGGCGGCCTGGGGTGCCGCTTGGGGATCGCAGTGCCCGGCGTGCCCATCGCCGCCTCCGTGCCCTTTTTGTTCTTGTACCTGCGAGCCGCGGCTGGCGTGCCCAGGCGGCTCGGTGTCGGAGGTCCAGCGGCCCGTGCCGCTGGGAGTCAGCCTGGCGTGGCTGGCCTGCCTGGCCGCGGTGGGCGCCGCGGGCTGGGCCCTTGGCAGGCGGGGCGCACCCGCGACACCAAGGGCCACTGCGCCGGCGGGCGCTCCCGGGCGGCCGCTCGCGGCGGCCTTGGAGGCTCCCCTCTCAGCGACGCAGCTGGCGGCGGCTCAAGTGGCGGCTCTGCGGGCCTCGAAGCCACAGCTGACACGCTAGCATGGCGACGGCGGCCGCAGCACGGCATCCGATAGCGGCCCTGGGACTGCAGGAAAGGGATTTCATCCTGGTGGAGTACGCGGGGTACGCCAACGTGTGGCTCGAGCGACTGATGGTGCTCGCGCCTGACGGCTCGGGCCTGACGTGCACCCTCACACCAGATGACGACAGCTACGAGGAGGACCTCTTCGCCGCCGCCGAGGTGCGCCGCTGGCTGCCGTGCGAGGGCGAACGCATGGGCGCATACCCGCCAGCTGCTGCTGGGATGCACGTGCACGGCTTCAGGGGCGTCCCAGCGCCTGCGCGGGTCGCACAGGCGCTGGCTGCTTGGGCTGCGAGGATGGGGATCGCCCTGGGCGTTGAGGACGCGGTGGTGCCCAACCTGCGCTGCGCTGCTGTCGGAGCTCGCCCTCGGCCTGGTGCCGCGGGTGTCGCGCCCGCCGGTGGCGCGGCGGCTGCGGCGCACGCTGCCGGCGGTGCGGGGCCGCCCGCTGGGATGCTGGTTGCTGCCCCCTTCGCAGCACCCGCGGCAGGGATTGGCGGGCCTGCCGTGGCGGCTGGAGTGGCTGGCTCGGCGGCTGCGCTCGCCGGCGGCCCAGCGGCGCCCGTGGCAGGCGCCCCAGCGCTGGCGGGCCCCGCGCCGCCGCTGGTGGTAGAGCCCGCAGCTGCCGGGCCAGCTGCCGCAGCTGCAGGCCTTGGAGCCGCCGCGGCCGCGGCCGCGCCAGCTGATACGCGCGTCCAGCCCGTCACGTACGACTTGCAGGGGCAGCGGCACGCGGACTTCCGCCGCGCGGTCATGAACATGACTGAGGGGGCCGTTCCCGACTGGCCGGTCAGAGGTTCGCGGACGGCGCTGTGGGTCCTTAAGTTCATGGAGGCTCACGGCGGCACGCCTACGGGCCGCCACTCGCGCTGGCTCTCGGAGTCACGCTTGCAGGGGCCCGATCCTGGCGTCGACGAGCATGGGCAGGCGTGCAGGGCCCTCGAGCGCATGGTGATCTACGACCAGCTGGAGGTGGCCAATGTCGCCTCGGGCGAGATGCTGGCCAGAGCCGTGCAGCCCCAGGAGGAGCGCTACAGGGACCGCGTCGCCCCGGCAGCAGACTCGGGCAGCCTCGACGCGCACGTGCTGCTCGGCACGGACCAGCTGCGCGGGATCGCGCGCGTCGCGCCGGCGCTGCAGGACCACGTCAAGGACGAGCTCACGAAGATGAATGCTTACAGGAAGGAGCAACGCAAAGCCAGAGAGGAGCGCGACTTGGCCCGCAAGAATAAGAAGGGGGCCAAGGGCGACAAGTGCTCTGGCAGGGGCGACAAGTAGCCTCGGAGAGGGGGGCGGAGTTGGGCGCCCGCTCCCGCCAGCCAGCCCATTGCGCCCTGACGCACCAGCTGACGGGCCACCTCTGCCCTCGCGCCGTGCGGACCTCGGAGGGCGCCAGCGGGACACCTTCCCCTTGCCGTCCTTGGCCCGCCCTCGCGGGGGCTCCAGTTTTGGGCGCAGCCGCCGCGGTCACCGTCAGCTTGCTGATGATGCTCCTTGGCAAGACTGGGCCAACGACGCCATCGACGTCATGAATGCTGTGTGTGCTCCTGGGGCCCAGCCGTCTGCCCTCGGTATCTCTGAAGGCCAGCGGGCGTCTCTCGAGCACATCCAGTCCACCTTCGCCTGCCTCGAGCCGCTGGCCGAGGGCGAGGGTTTTCCCGAAGGAGCTCTTTCGGATATCCTCTCTGGCTCCCCGCTGTGCGCCACGGGGGGGCCTCGCCGACCCTACTCGCGGGGCCTGATCTCGTGGCCCGACGTTGGCGACGACCCCGTGCCGCTCACGAAGGTCGTGGCTGGCCCGGACGCTCAATGGCTTAGGGCATGGAGCTCGAGCATGCTGCGTGGTCGCGAGGAGGCTGACGCCCTTCTGCAGCAGGTTTGCCCTCGCGGGCCGTATGTCGACCCCCACCTTGCCTTCTCTCCGGCGACGTTCGCCGACTTCCTTGCTGAGATGTTGAAGCGGAAGATGATTTGCTTCCAGGCGGAGGACCCCAGCATCAAGCCGATTGGAGTCTTCTGCGTGGCAAAGAAGAGCAACCGTCTACGGCTCATTTTTGATACTCGCACAGCGAATGCGTACTTCACGGACCCCCCAGCCACCACGTTGCCGAGCGCGGCCGCCTTCTCGAACCTGGAGGCGCCCGGAGGCAAGGTGGTCGTCGCGGCGGGAGACATCGACGACGCCTTCTACCGGCTGCTGATGCCCGAGGGCTTGTGTCGCTACTTCAGGCTCCCGCCGATCGACAGGAGGCACTTGGAGGCACGCGGCATTGCAGGACTTCCCCATGCCACCAGGGTGCAGGCTTGCTTGGTCGTGCTGCCGATGGGTTTCTCCTGGGCGCTGCACCTCTGCTAGCTTGCTCTGCGAACAGCGGTCTCACGGGCCGGCGTGCCAGGCCACCTCATCATCGAGGACGGCCTCCCCGGCGTCGTCGTGGAGCCGGAGGGCCAGGCCGCCGTCGCAGGGCACGTGGACAACTACCTGGCCGTCGGCGGTGACGAGTCGGAGGCCGACCGCGCCCTGGATCGCATCACCGCGGAGCTGGAGGGCGCTGGCGTGAGAGTCCACGAGCCTGAGCGGGCTTCGGGCACCTGCAGTTTCCCGGGGATGGAGCTGAGGCAGGGCCGCTGGCTTGCCATCAAGGGGCGATCTGTCTGGAGGCTGAAGCTCGCCATTGAGGAGCTGCTCAGGCGCGGCCGCGCTTCAGGGCACCTCGTGCGCGTGCTGGTAGGTGACCTGACCTGGGCCTCTATGGTGAGGCGTGAGGCGCTGGGGCTCCTCAACGCGACCTACGCCTTCATGATTGCATCCGGCGCGGAGGTGCAGACGCTCTGGCCCTCCGTGCGGACTGAGCTGTGGCGCGCCCGCTGTCTGCTGCCGCTCCTCGTGGCGGACCTCACCGCGCCCTGGGCAACGCGACTTGTCGCCAGTGACGCCAGCGAGGAGGGGCTGGGCGTTTGCCGTCGGCAGGCCTCAGGCGACCTCATCGCCCGCTGCGGGCGTCTGTGCGAGCGGTGGCGGTACCGAGTTGAGGGTGGGGCTCGTGCCAGAGACAGATCTCTTCTCTCCACTGCTGCTCTCCGCCCACCCCTTGCATCATCATCCTTTGCTGGCCCTCGCGAGGCCGCGGGAAGGGGGGGCGTGCTGATTTACAGTCAGTTGGATTTCGACTCGGCTTCGCCCAGCACGCTGGACCCCGACAAGCTCCCCGAGGACCCCGACATGGAGCTCCACAGCAAGGGCCCCCTGGTCTTGGATCTCGGCAGTAAGCTGAAGGAGTTCGACGAGGTGCCCGCAGGTCTTTTGGATGCTAAGTCTTGGAGGGGTGTGGTTGCCACGAAGGTCCAGACGGGCCAGAACGTCTTGGGGTTGGAGGCCGACGCCCTGGTAGTTGCCTACAAGCACCTCTTGAGGTCCTCAGCCTGCCGCGGCAGGCGGGTTCTGGCGCTGGTCGATAATATGCCGTTGTGTCTGGCCGTGGCGAAGGGGAGAGCTGCATCAGCATACCTACAACTTCCATTGCTCAAAATTTGTATGATGTCTCTCGCTACAGGAACGAGATTGTACTGCAGGTGGATTCCGTCAGAACGCAACCCTGCCGACGCTCTTTCTCGAGGGCGTCGCTCCTGGTTTTCAGACTCAGACGCCCGCGCTGGACAGCCTCCCGCGCATGGCGGCGCGGCGGCATCCAGCAGCAGCGCGGCCGCTAGTCCTGCGCCTGCCCGCGCGGCGGCTTCCGCCAGCTGCCTGGGAGGCCCGCAGCCGACGCGCCGCCCCGGCGGGGCGGCGGAAGGCCGCGCGGCCGCCGGTGGGACAGCTCGGCTTCCTGGAGATCTTGGCGGTGCGGACCAGCCCGGAGGAGCAATACCGCAGGATCCTGAGAGAGTTCGCGGCCTTCGGCTCCGTGAGCCGCCTGGCCTGGAGGGACTTCGGCCAGCTCGACTTGGTGACCGCCCGCTCCTCGGGCTACATGTTCGTGCGCGGAGCCCCCGCGAGCCAGGGTTCTCTGTGGCTGGCGCCCCTGGCGCACTTCTTGCCGGGCCTCCAGGGCTCGTGGAAGGACCATCTGCCGCGCGCCACAGGGGGCTTGAGGTCCTGGGCGCGTCGCGTGCCCCCGATGACGCGGGTGCCTCTTCCATGCCTCGCGGCGGCTGCGCTGGCTGGGCTGCTGGCCGTCAGCGGACGCCGTCGCATGGCGATAGGGATCCTGCTTTCGTTCAGCCGCTACCTGAGGCCGTTCGAGGAGCAGGGGTTGCGAGGGGGCTCTCTGGTGCGCCCAGCGGCGCAAGCAGCGGCCTCGGCGGCCAGCTGGGCGCTGCTCCTGCACCCCACCAGCTGCGGCCGCCCAGGCAGGACCGGGCTGTGCAACAAGAGCGTGGTGATAGAGCTCGACCGGCCTTGGTGGCCGCTGCGTGCCGGCCTCATGGCCGCCGTGGGCCTCGACCAGAGCCTTTTTGGGATTTCACGCTGCCTGCCCTGCGCGACCGCTTCAAGGTGTCCGCGGACTTGCTGCAGCTCCTGGCCCGCAACCCGACCCTCAACGCGCTGCGACACGGCGGGGCGAGCTGGGATCTGCTGGAGGGCCGGAGGGCGCGGGGGCGAACCCTGAGGCACGGCCGATGGGCCTCGCCGGGCAGCATGAGGCGTCACGCCAAGGAGGCCTACTTGCAGGATGCCATGACCAAGGTTCCCGACCGGGTCTTCATAGTAGGCCGCTTCGTGCACACCAACCTGCTAGGGATTGTCGAGCTGGGATCCGCCCTCGCGCAGCGGCCGCGCCCGTGGCAGCAGCGGCCCGCGCCCGTGCAGGCGCGGATCGGCGCCTCGCTGCCATAGCCTCGCCGGCGCAGGTCCAGCGTCACTTGAAGCGGCTGCCCGCTCAGGAACTGAAGGCCTCTCGCAAGCGTAGGCATGGAGTGTTCCTGGAACTTTTTGCTGGGACTGGGAAAGTCGCGAAAGCCCTCAGAGCCGAGGGTTTTGGAGCCCTCAGCCTTGACCTCCTGCATGGCCCCTGTGAGGATCACTTTGATAAAACGTTTGAAGGGCTCGTCTCGGGCTGGATTAAGTGCGGTCTCATCTGGGGGATTTTTCTGGGCACCCCGTGTACAACTTGGACACGGGCCCTTCGTAAGCCCCTCCGCGATGTTGCCGCGCCCATGGGGTTGCCCAATCTCAACGAGAGCGAATCCGCCAGAGTTCGAGTAGGGAATGCGACCCTCCGCTTTTCGTGCCGCATCCTCTCGTTGGCCAATGGTCTCGGAGTGCCTGTTCTGCTGGAGAATCCCCAGACCTCCCTGATTTGGGCGGCTCCCAGACTAGCCCATCTTGGAGCTCAGCCCGAGTCTGATTTCGTCGTGTGCCACCTCTGCCAGTACGGGGCCCGATGGCGAAAAGCCACCAGGCTTCAGGGATGGAGCATTTCCAGTTTTGAGCCCCTTGCTCGCAGGTGCAAAAAATGAAAGAATGGGATCTGCTCGCGCACCGGGGAGCGCCACATCGAATTGTCTGGGACGGCGCCAGGCGGGCGAAAATGGACCAGCCTGGCTGCTGCGTACCCCCCTTCTTTCGCTCGTGCTGCCGCGGCAGTCCTCGCCCATTCCTCTGAGCAAATGCATGGATTACGCCTCGGAGAGATCCTGTGCACATGAGTTCTCTGTTTCCTGTGTTTAGTGGAAGCCCCGTGGGGCTCCGGCCTGGGGCCATGCCGTTTGGGAATCGGGATTGTGTGGCTGAAGTTCAGCTTTTTTATATCCGCCCTGCCAGGGCGCGACGCCGTGCCCCGAACTCGCGGCCTGTGGAAGCCCTCTGAGCGCGCACACTGAGAAAGAGTATCAATACAGGCTGACGTGCTTGGCCGCCTAGTGCGTCCTTACTTGCTGGTAGATTTAACATCGTGAAGTGAGGAGGGGGCTGGCGGGCAGGCGCCGCCGCACCGCGATCGTCGCGGCCGTATGTTCAAGCTCGCCCTCCATCCAATCCTTCTATATCGGTTCACTTCTGTACAATACCTGTTGTGGATTGTGCTGGCTGTTATGTCTCAGCGGGGGCGACCGGCCGTGCCCCGAACTCGCGGCATGTGGAAGCCTCTCTCGAGCGCGCATACTGGAAAGATTGTATCAATACAGCTGACGCTGCTTGGCCGCCTACAAGCGTCCGTACTTGCTATATATATATATAGATAGAGAGATATGTATGTATATATATATGTGTGTGTATATAGAAATGTATTTGTGTATATATATATATATATGTATATTTATTTATATATATATATATATATATATATATATATATATTCCTCTTCCTAAATTTCTATAAGCCCAGGCGGGGGGGACCCCCCTCCCCAAAACCGGACTCCCGGGATCTGGGGCCTTGGGACCCTCCGGACGGGCCTCGAAGCGGCCCCCTGGGCCTCGCAGGGCGTTTCGCCAAGCTTTCCCAGCACCCGAAGACGGTCCCAGACGGGTTCCAGGCGTTCCGGCGCGCTCCCGAAACGACCCCAGAAAGCTTCAATAAGGTCCACGACGACGCCCACGAAGCCGTCAGACCCCCAACGATCGCTCCGAAACGCCCCAAGAGGCCTCCAAGAGCACTCCCAAGAAGGACCCAAGAGGCAAACATATGTGATTTTCCATTGGTTTTTGGTGAATTTTGGAGTTATCCTCTTTTCGGCTTCCCGACGCTCCAAGGCGGCGGTCTTCTGGAAGACGCCTGGGAGGCTCCATAATCGCCCCACAACTATTCGAAAGGGCTTCCAGGCAGTCCGAGACAGCCCCAAAACGGCACAACAGGGGTCCAAGATGGCCCTAAGAGAGCCGCATGGCGGCCCAAGATGGCCCGAAGACACGCTCTGAAGCATTCCAAATTGTGACCCAGTCATTCAGGGAGACCGCGGTTGGAGGCAGGGTGGCCCGAGGAAGCCCCCAGAGGACCCCAGAACAAGCCCAGGAGGCTTCCAAAAGGCTTGCAGAAAGCCTGAAAACTTTTGTGAGGCCCCCATAGGCTCTCCAAGGAGGAGCCTCCGCAAAAAAAGAACTGAGGAGGATGGGGAGAATGCGCAGGGTATGTTATCATGAAGAAACAGTAGCATGGAGGTAGGATGCCGAAAAGCATTATGATAGCGACGATGGCTGGAAACAGCAACTAGGAGTTATCGCTAAATTGCTGGCTTGACCTTCCTGCCACCCCGCTTGCACGCCGAACTTTGAGGACCAAGGTGCATGGCGCGAAGCGCCAATGCAGTCTTGTGTATATAAATAAATGAATAAATGCACACACACACATATATATACATATACATATTTATGTATATGTTTATAACAATAGACGTCTATAAATATATCGGAGTAGGTCGGGGGGTGGGCGGGCCAGTGCCGTACCACCCCATGGGGGGATTGGGAGGGTCCCAGGGGTCCCGGGACTGCCCAGGCCCGACCCCAAACACGCCACGACACGCCAAGAGGGCCCGAAAGATTGCCAAGACAGCCACAGAGGCCCGGACACGCCGAAGATGGCCTCAGGACGGCCGACGACGCCGCCAAAACGCTCCAAGAGAGCCTCCAGAGGCCCCTCCAAAGGGCCCCAGAAGCCGAACATAATAATTTTTCCGATGGTTTTTGAAGAATTTGTGCGCTCTCCCATGTTCCGCCCCCCCACGGTCCCCGACGGCGTCAGAGGCCCTTCAGATCGCTCCAAGACGGCCGAAGAGGCTCCCAAGAAAGCCCAGAGACGGCCCAGGAGGCTCCCCAGATAATTCAAGAGGGCCTCGAGAGCGCCCCAAGAGAGCCCCAGGAGCGACCCAAGAGGGCCCGAAGAGCGCGACATTTCAAGGTCTCCGGCCTGAGAGGCTCCTAGGACGCCCCCGGAGGCCATCAAGAGGCTCCCAAGCCCCGTGAGGCTCCCAAGAGGCCTGGAAGCCCCAATAGGCCTCCAAAAGGGCCTCTAGGGAAGCCCCCTGCGGGCCCCCAAGACACCTCGGTAAATCGTATTTCCCAGACAGCATTCCTTGGGCTTCCGCCCACCGCCCCAACCATGTTTCCAGTAGGCTTGCCGAGAAGGTCAAATGGGGCCCCTCGTTCAGCCCCTAGAGGGCCCCCTCTTAAGAGAGCCGAACAAATCATGCTCCCGGAAAGCTTCCCAGGAATATGATTCTCTATCTCGGAGTAGGCCCGGGAGGGGGGGCGGGCCGCTGCCTGTTCCCCCCATCTGTGCCCGCCGGGGGTTGCGGGGGGGGGGGGGTCCAGAGCTCCCGAGGCGGCGCGAGCCCGCCCCGAAAATGCCCTCAAGACAGCCGACGAGGACTCCAACACGCTCCAGGACGGACTCAAGAGGCTCCACAAGAGGGCCCTGGGAGGTAAGATTCACTCATGTTCAAAGTGTTTGGGATTTTGGCGTTCTCGCTTTTCCCGCTTTCCAGCGCTCCCTCACGGCCTCGGAGGCCCTTCAGATCGCTCCAAGACGGCTTACGAGGCCCCGAAGAGGGTCCCAAGACGGCCCAGGAGGTTCCCCAGGCAACCCAAGTGTGCCCCAAGAGCTCCCCAAGAGGGGACCGCCAACCGATATTTCGAGGTCTTTGGCCCTAGAGGCCGCCAGTAGGCCCCTGGAGGCCACCAAGAGGCTCCCACGAAGCCCCGTGAGGTGCCCAAGAGGCCCCCAGGAAGCTCCAAGAGACCCCCAAGGGGCTCCCAGGGAACGCCAACGAGGCCCCCCAACACACCCCAAGAAATCATGTCCCCAGAAAGCCTTCCGGGGGACATGGTTCATCATGGGCCCGAGAGTTCCCGGAGGCCCCCAAGGGGCCCCCAGGGAACGCCCAAGAGCCCCCCCAACACACCCCAACAAACCATGTCCCCGGGAAGCCTTCCGGGTACATGGTTCATCATGGGCTCGCGAGTCTCCGGAGGCTTCGAAGTACCATCATGCTACAGGAGAGCTGTCTGGGAAGTCGATTGTGAACATGACTGATCGCCTTCTCGCTGCCCTCCGCAGATTGTTTCGCACAAAGTTGCCCCAAGTGCCCTCTTAAACCGACGACGACGACGAAACGACGAAGACGAGGAGGAGGAGGAGGACGACGACGACGACGACCACGCGCCCCAAGAGGCGACGACGACATTACGACGACGACGGCACGCCCCAACAGGCTCCCCAAGACGCCCCCCAAACCCATTCGCCCAGAAGGCTTTCTGGGAACCCGATTCATTCGGCCTCCGCCCCTCTACGCAGCCATTTCCCCCGAAAGCCTTTCGGAATGCGGATTGGCATGCGTGGACTGTGGTCCACTACTTGAGTGGAGCAGTGAATGCGTCAAGGACTACTGTGCCTGCAAGAACCTGAGCGCGCGCGAAGCGCGCGCGCGATGTTTTAATGTATATCTATGCATCTGTATATCTATGTATGTGTGTGTATGGATGTCTAAACTCTGGCGCGCATGGCTCGACCATGTTGGAAGAGCTGACTCCACTCCGCCTTTCTATACATATATATAGATGTATTTATATGTATATATTTATGTATGTATGTATGTGTACACATCTATACTCCCCAGACAGAGTTTACACTCAGGGGTTCCTCCTTGTGACTAAAGAGCTGAGTCTGTCTGTCGGTCTGGCGGCTACGTTGCCGCCGTCGCCGTCCCGTCGCCACATCGTCGCCGCCCGTCGTCTGGGTCTGTCTGCCGGTCAGACGGCTATGTTGCCGCCGTCGCTGCCTCGTCGCCGCCCGTCGTGTGGGCCTGCCTGTCGGTCGCCGCGTTTGTTACCGCCGTCGCCGCCCGGTCGCCGCCTCGTCGCCGCCCGTCGTTTGGGCCTGTTTGTCGGTCGCCGAGCTTGTTGCCG